GTAGGGCAGTTATAGTCTGTTGTAGGGTCGCTTTGAGTTGGAGTTGACTCGATGGCAATGTTTGGTTTGGTTTGGTGGTATTGCATAGATACATCACAAGTTATTAATGATTCTGTTATTGGTGCTCATCTGTTATTGGTGGTTTCATCTTTTTTTGTTACAGCAAATGTTATAATGGCCATCCTTTTATATAACATCTCTGTACGCTTGTCCTTATATTTCCTTTGATACTTCCCAGTGAGTGGAAATGCCATGTTAATGGATATGAACATTGAAAATTGTGGTAGATGGTGCCACGTTGCCCTCCCAATAAGGTATTGGCAATATTCCTTTTCAGCAGTTGAATGTGGGAGTTTTGCCTGTTTCCTTACTTGCTCACCAAGAGTCAATATTATTAGTTACTGTTGGTTTTTAAAGTTTAGCTGAGACTGCTCATACCATGTTTTTGGTGAATTTATTGCATTTATAATATTGTAATCAAGACCAAATATTAGTTGCCAGTTCTAAGTCCAGTTAAGCTCTTTAAAACAAAAAACCAAAAAAAAAAAAAAAAACTAGCTGTAGATTTTTTAGTAACAAGAGTAAGTACTTATTAAGGATTTGTGGGAAGTTAGTATTTGAAAGGGACCTTGTAGGATGGGTTGGATTTTAAGGATGGGTTGGATTTTAATTTTTTAGGAGGAGGGACCTTTCTGAAAGTAAGAATTATTTAAACAAAGACAGGAATGGGTAGAGATGTACAGGATCAGAGATTTGAGAGGTAGTATTCCTGGCTGTTTCGTGGTAAAATAGAAGATCTGGCTGAAAGGTAGTTGGAACTAAGTAGTGAGGGGTGTGGAAGGTCAATCTGAAGATTTTGCTTTCTAGTGGAGAGCCATCAGTACTCAGTTGCTATTGAGTTGATTTTGACTCAGAGTGAGCCCATGTGTGTCAGAGTAGAACTGTGCTCCATAAAGTTTTCAGTGGCCGATTTTTTGAAAGTAGATTGCCCTGCCTTTCTTCCCAGGTGCCTCTGGGTGGACTTGGGCTGCCTACTTTTTGGTTAGCAGCCAGATGTGTAGTGGAGAGCCACAGAAGGTCTTTAATCATGGATTGAGGAATGCAATCACATCTTTGTTTTACAAGTATCACTGGTGACAGACTTGAGAGACTGGTGTCAAGCAAGAGCTTGAAGGAGAGGGTAGCAGGGAACAGTACAGAGATTGGATTTCAGAGATACTGAAGAAACTGGATCGACATCATTTGATGACTGGAATTAAGGAAGAAGAACACAAAGCTCACTAGATTTTTGTCATGAGTGACTATTAGAATAGTGAGTGATATTAATCAAAGGAGGGCTAATTAGTTTGGAAGTTGGGGAAAGATGCTCTTTTCTGTCTTGAACATGTTAATTCATGTCAAGCTGTTTGCAGGAGAATCAGTTATATGCAAAGATAAAATCCATCTGTGATAGATTCAGGAGAAACCTTAATGGATTACTCTTTTGTTAAGAATTTTGGCATACATTTTCACATTTTTAAAGTGTACTGTTAGTAGAATTTTTTCTGAATTTTCTGTGGCTCATTCAGCCTCGTTTACTATGGTGTTAATAATTTAAGAGAGTGCGTTGTCTAGTAGTCTTCAAACTTGTTTTGATTGTGTATACAATCAATAAAAAGTATTTGGGCGTGTGCCTCCACTATGTTGTTGTAGTTAGGTGCCGTTGAGTCAGCTCAGACTCATAGTGATCCTCTGAGCAGGAACCCAGAATGAAACACTGCCTGGTCCTGTGCCAGCCTCATGATCCTTGCTATACCTGAGCCCATTATTGCAACCCTTTGTCAATCTGTCTTGTTGAGGGCCTTCCCCTTTTTTGTTGAACCTCCACTTTACCAAGCATAATATCTTTCTCCAGGGAATGGCCCTTTCTGACAACATGACCAAAGTAGGTGAGAAGAAGTCTGGCTGTTCTCACTTCAAAGAAGCATTCCAGGTGTATGTTTTACACATTAATTAGTTATGTACATGTTTTACAGTACTGTTATATTGAGTACATTATAAAACATGTAAACAGAATTTTAAAAGGCTAAAACAAGTAAAAATTGGAGTTTCCCTGTTTTGTTTGTACAGCCTATTCAGTCACCTTGAACCCCTCTTTAGATCACACTGGCCTGATCTACATCTGTCAGTGTTTTGTCCCATTATCTAGTAGAAGACACCCTTGAGAATCTGGAAAAGAGAACAGGCTGGTAAGGTATGTGAGATGGAACTTAATTCTTTATTTAGAAGGAGGCCTTACTTTTAAGTTTCTAAATTAGTATTTTGGAAGAGTTAGTGTGTGCTTTTTTGGAGATGTGAAGAATAGTGAACTCAGCAGGGTATCAAGCAATCTAAAATTTACTTTTGTTGTTGTTTGATATTTGCTCTGTGAGTGGTGCTTCAAGCTGATTTGAATTGGTTCAGTCATAGCCAGTGAAGCAAAATTAGAACAGACTTGAATTTTTAGAATATGGGTGAAGTGGGACAAAAACTGGAATAGGAAAAATTAACAGGTTGAAACTCTGAAATAGGAGACTAGGAAGAAGTGTAGTGAGCCTTTTCAGGAGCCTGATGCAGGAGATTGAATTATTGCCAGGACTGTGGAGAGCAGCATACATTCTGAGTGGCATGGTTAGCCACCATCTTTGAACTGGGCACTATTGTTTCTGACTCTGCTAATCAAGAGATTTGGCTGCTATGCAATGCTCATGCTACCGTTGTTTTCTAAGAGGGAGATTAAGTTTCTAGCAGGGCATTGACGGTAATTTTTTCTGTCCTGGCTATCATCCTGGTTCACCCACATTTTACAAATTCAGTTTTGCTTTGTCAGCCATGACTGAACTGGGAGAAACTGGTTTGAAGCCCTGTTTTGTAAATGCCTTGCATTCTGGATTACATGTTATTTGATTCTACAGTTTTGGAATTTTTTCCCAATTCTTTGAGAATCCAAAGCTATGTCAGCTACAGTAATATTCCTAGCACGGAGGCATAACCCAACTTCTTGTTATAATTGGAATGATTGGAAGAATAGACACAAAGAGGCTTTCTTTGTAACTGATCTTGAAAGCAGTGTCCTAAGCCCATAGATGTTAATAGTGCATTGGCACTGTGTATCTAGTTTCTATTTCATGTTTAGTTAGGAAAGGGGAATATGGAAACACCCCCTTTCAGTCAATAAGTAATTCCCCACTATGTTGTTGTTATTTGCCATCAAGTCGGACCGACTCATAGCAACCCTTCCTTGGGTTCCCGAGGCAGTATCACTACGGAAGTAGGATTGCCCAACCTTCCTTCTGAGGAGTGGCTGGTGGGTTTGAACTGCCAGCCTTCTGGTTGGCAGTCAAGTGCCTTAGGCACTATGCTACCAGAGCTCCCATTCCCCACTATAAGTAATTAGAAATAGAGCTAACTTTGTCACAACTATATGTTTTGAAAAGGAGAACCAAAACTAAACCTACTGTCATCGAGTCAATTCCAACTCAGCAACCTTACAGGACAGAAAAGAACTTCCCAGAGGGTTTCCAAGGCTATGAATCTTTACAGAAGCAGACTGTCACATCATTCTGCAGAGTGGCTGGTGGGTTTGAACAGCTGACCTTTCAGTTAACATCTGAGTGAATAACCACTGTGCCACTAGAGCTCCTTAAAAAGGGTAACTATGGTTTTTAAAAAATACAGAGATGCTTATGTTTATAATACTTAAGTATATATATTTTTTGAGCCCTACTTTTAAACCATCAGGAAAATGAGTTATTGAGATTTTAGACACTTGCTAAAAGTTAGAGGTTTGTTAAACAGATACAGATAGTCCTGGATTGGTCTTGTGTAACAAGGTGATGGGGTGGGGAAAATGATTTTTATGTTTTATTGTTCTTATGCTATTTCTCAACAGAGTTCAGCATGTGGTAGATTAAATACGACAACTCAATCATCTTGAAGATGAGTTAGTTTCAAGTTATCGCATTAGAATCAAGGGGACTCATAGTGTAAACTGAGTGAACTAGAGAGTAGAATCAGGAGCTGTCAAATCAGAGGTCTGTTTGAGCTAAGAATTAAGGCTCAAAGCAAAGCAGAGGTTTAAAAGGGACCACAAATCTTTTTTTTTTTTTTCTTTCCCCAATCTCAGAAATACTCTTTTTTTTTTTTATTAGGATTTGGGTGAAGATTTACAGAGTAAATTCACTTTTCGTACAGCAGTTCACATATACTTTGTCTCATGTCATTGACCAAAATTTACAATGCAGCAGCTCCCCTCCCACTTCCTCCCCATAGTTACCTCCTCCCAGTGTCCATCCCTTCATACTCTTCTGCACCCTGAGCTATCTCCTTGTGCATAAGCAGCCCTTCCTTCTCCCATGATTGTTCTCTCCAGGGACCACAAATCTTGAACAAATTATATAAAATAGAAATTTGGTAGTCTGAAGGGTTGGTTTTTAGGATGAAGTTTAGAGTTTGAAAACTAGTAGGTCAGAGCAAGGAAGAGACACAAGCGAACAAAAGCAAGGGAGTCCGGTATTTATGGGCAGGGACAAGGACAAAGATCTAGACAGTTGGAGCAAGACAATTGAAGGTATAAGTTACTAGGAATAAGCCAAAGATTTGGAAACCAGGAAGACAAAGCAGAGCGGGAGAAGGATGGACAGTTGGTATTGGGTGGCCAAAGCAGGCAAAGTCCTTTATTCTCTAAGAATTAAAAGAACAAGAGAAGAGTAGGAATAATTCTGAGACAGTGATGATGCCATCCTCCTTTCTTTATTCCAAGAGTGGGAGCAGACCAGGGCCACAGGTGAACATCAGAAGTGTGAGCTAGGGAATGAGTATGTGGTGTCTGGAATGGTTACTACAGCACCAGGAAAATTGGAGCCATAGGCATGTTCTTAACAGAAATGACCATGAGGCTTGTAGAACCATAATATAGTCATTTAGTTATTTAATACATGTGTTTGTATAATACTATATATGTTGTTTTTACACAGCATTCCAAAAGGTTTGGGCTACCTGACTATTATGGCACCAAGAAATCTCTTGTATATGGCACCGAGTAACTTTCTCCTTGGCTCAAGATTTTGGATGACTCAATTTTCAACAGAAATCCTGTTCAAATCAGTTTCATTTAGGCTTTTTGGTGTCAAGTGCAATAATACAGAGTCTTTGGAGAAGGTTGATCTACTGAACAACTTACTTACTATGGGAGTAGATATTGACATGGCAAAGAAACGACAGCCTGGAGTTTTTAACAGGATGATTACTAATGAGCAGGACCTGCAGATGTTCCTTCTGTCCAAAGGAGCTAGCAAAAAAGTGATTGCTAGCATCATATCAAGATATCCACGAGCTATAACACGCACACCTGAAAGTCTTTCAAAACGATGGGATCTGTGGAGAAAGATTATGGCATCAGACCTTGAAATTGTAAATATTTTGGAACGTTCTCCAGAATCCTTTTTTCGGTCCAATAACAACCTAAACTTAGAGGAAAATATAAAGTTCCTCTACTCAGTTGGATTGACCCGTAAATGCCTTTGCCGATTGTTGACCAATGCTCCACGTACCTTCTCCAATAGTCTTGATCTGAATAAACAGATGGTTGAACTTTTACAAGCAGTCTGTTTATCCTTGGGCCACAAAGATCCTGCAAAATTTGTCAGAAAGATAATTTTAAAAAATCCTTTTATCTTAATTCAGAGCACCAAACGGGTGAAAGCAAACATTGAGTTTTTACAGTCAACTTTCAACTTGAACAGTGAGGAGCTGCTGGCTCTCATATCTGGCCCAGGAGCTGAAATCCTAGACCTTTCCAATGACTATGCCAAAAGAAACTACACAAATATCAAAGAGAAACTGTTTTCTCTTGGGTGTACTGAAGAAGAGGTACAGAAATTTGTCTTAAGCTATCCTGATGTGATCTTCTTGGCAGAGAAGAAGTTTAATGATAAAATAGACTGCCTCATACAAGAAAAAATTAGCATTTCACAAATAATTGAAAGTCCTCGTGTTCTGGACTCAAGCTTAAGTACTTTAAAAAATAGAATCAAAGAATTGATAAATGCTGGCTATAACTTGAGTACATCTAGTATCACTCTTCTGTCTTGGAGTCTAAAAAGATACAAAGCTAAATTAAGAAAGTTAAATGGCTAGAACATTGTTGTGGGGAATTAAAAAAGTGTTACAGTGTAGTCATACCATTTTATTTTGAATTTGGACCTTTCATAAGGGATAAATATATGGTCTCTGGTTAATGAACTAAGACTGGCTTTCCTGTGAAAAGCCTGACTATAGGCTCCTTCCCTCAGACTATAATGCACACCCAGAAGTATGAACCTAGTAGAATAGAAATCTAGGGGAAAATCTGTTGATGGCAAAACCCACATGAACCCTAGTCACAAACTTTAATAATAGACATTGTTACACAGCCTGGAAAAGCCTGGCACAAGCAAGATAGGATAACTTTTTTAATACACTGCCATATTGAGATTACTAATATTAGAGAGATTTTGAGATCATAGTAGAAGTCCAGTTGCCCAACATTGGAGAAGGAGGGGGATGAACTGTGACTCTTCATTGGCCTCTAGGGATCATCTCTGGTAGGACTGGTTCCTAGGTCTGAATGGCCATTGGATGATTTTTCAGACTGGTGGTCTTAACTGGCCAGGAGATCCCTGGGCTAAAGCTGTTCATTCATTTCTTAGTTTATTCCCTATTCATTCAGACCCTGGTAGAGGACTGACCTATGATAGAATCAGTTTTGAGGACCTGAGGAAGGCACCCATAGTGAATGTCATAACCAGACCATCTGTATCTTCTTACTTATTTTCATGTTTTTGGTACTCTCCAAAATGATGCTTTTGCCACTTCTTTTTCTTCTGGTCTTTCCAGTATGACTGTTCTCCATCCCTTTGATTTTACTCTATTGCCCCTCCTCAATTCACAGAAGTTGTTAGTGGAATAAAATGAAAAGAAAATCCATATAGGCATTTTTGTTATGATTTAATCCATATTCTTGGAAGGCAGAGACTTTTAGCCTTTTGACTAATTCTGAGTAGAATTTGGTATAGTGATAGAAGATCTGATAGAATCTTATTTTCTGTCTCAGTTTCACTATTGATAAGACAGGTATTTGGAAGTTCCCCTTAATAGCAATCTTGAGTGAACATGGCTGAGCTTATGTACATTGTTTTGTGTTCATGAAAAGTTTTAATATGATGGCATGAAAGTTCTTCCACATCCATTGATTATCCCAGTGCTGCCTTAACCAGCTGTCAGGCTGCCTTCAGCTTATACCCACCATGATTGTCAGCCTTTCTTTTTTTTTTGACTTTGCAATGGTAATGAATTTTCTTTGATAAAACATAATCATTCCTTGAACAATGCAAGAAACAAAACTCCAGCTAGCCTTTTTATCATGATATTGAGGAAATTTCTTTTATTCGTAGTTTACAAAAATATTTGCTTATTTAAATCAGAGTTAGTGGTTTTTAAAAAATTCCTTTGAAATGCCTTTTAACCCATTAATGAATGGCTTTAGTAAATTTCTTCAGATCACTCTTTATTTTACTAAGACCTGTGTTGGCTTTTAAGGAGCCCTAGTAGCACTGTGGTTTAAGTGCTTGGCTGCTAACCAAAAGTTCAAATCTACCAGCTGCTCTGTTGGAGAAAGATGTGGTAGTCTGTTTTGGTAAAGACAGCCTTTGAAACCCTATTGGACAGTTCTACTCTGTCATGTAGGGTTACTATGAGTCATAACTGACTCAATGGCAATGGGTTTGTGTTGCCTTTGATGCACTGCCAAATTCAATTTATTATTTTACTTAAGATTTTTCATTGGTATTCATAAAGCATATTGGTCTAAAACATCCCCCTCCTTTAATTGTTTACTGTTGTTTTTTTGGTGGAGCTGCTACTTTGTCAAGGTTTTGAATCAGGGTGTGCTAACCTCATGAGATTAATTTGGAAGCTTTTGTTTGTTTCCCTATGCTTTGGAACCACTTGAAAACTAGGAATTATCCATTCCTTTACAAGTTAGGCAGAACTTGCCTGTAAAAGTAATCTGGGCCTGGTGTCTTATTCAAGATAGAGATTTGACAACAATGGAAAACTGTTGCAAAGGCTTGTATAAAGGCTTTTGACTTTATTAAAGGCTTTAGATTTTCTTGGTGGGTATCAATATAAAACTGTTGTCTTAGTTAATGCATTTTGCTTTGAATTCTGTGTTGATATTAACATTGCTTTGCTTTATGTCCATACAAAGACTTGTATACAAATATTTATCACAGTTTTACTTGTAATAATCACTAACTGGAAACAACGAGTGATACATTCATATATTGTGGTATATTCATGCAGTGGAATATTACTCAGCAGTACAAAAATAATGAGCTATTTATACACACAACAACAAAGATGAATTGGAAAATAATGATGCTGAATTAAAGAAGCCTATTTTTTTGAGGTCCTTTGTAGGCCTGAGATTTTTACGTTCTGTAAGTAAGGTGGCCCCTGAACTTTTTGTTGCAAGTTTTACATATGTCCTTTTTATCTGAAATTCAGCTTTAGAATCATCTGGAACAATGGTTCCAAAATCTGGTTGAGCATATCATTATAACAATCTAGTGAGATGTTGCTTTTATTTTTGTTTATTTTTTTTTTCTAGAAATTCACCTATTATTTCCCTACACAGGGAATTATTTTTATTATCTGTGCCCCTCCATAGGCTCCAAATTCTTGCCGTGTGGCTAGGGCTCATCTCTCTCTAGACTGATTTTACGTGTTCTTTTCTATCTTATGCCTCTTGTATGGCTTGAATTGTCTTCTCCCCAAAATATGTGTCAACTTGGCTAGGCCATGATTCTCAGTATTATGTAATTATCCTCCGTTATGTGAGCTGATGTAATTATCCTATATGTTGTAAATTCTAACCTCTGATGTTAATGAGGCAGAATAAGAGGTCATTATGTTAATGGGGCAGGATACAGTCTATAGGATTAGGATGTATTTTCAATCAATCTCTTGAGATATAAAAGAGATTAAACAAGTGAGCAGAGTTTGAGGGTCCCACTACCACCAAGAAAGAAGAGCTAGAAGCAGAGTGTAACCTCTGGACACAGGATCCTTGCATTGAGAACCTCCTAGACCCAGGGGGAGGATTGATGCCAAGACACATGGTGATCTCCAAGATGCCAGGCCCACAGATGTTGACAGGAAACAAGGACCTTTCCATGGAGCCAACAAATGGGGCATCTCTTTTCCAGGCTCCAGAGGACAATGTCAGAGTTTCAGTTACTTGATTGTTAATTGATCTTTTTTTTACTTGACGGCACATAACAACAACAACAAACAACAAATTTATTGTGATTTGGGTGAAAGTTTACAGAGCAAATTCATCTTCCATACAGCAGTTCATATATACTTTGTCTCAAGACATTGACTATAATCTCCCACAACGCAACAGCTCTATTCTCACTTCTTCCCCATAGCCACTTCTTTCCTGTGTCCTTCCCTCCCATGTACTGCTCCCTGAGCTGTCTCCCTGTGCATATTCTCCCATGATTGATTTCTTCAAGGAGTTGTTGTTGTTGTTGTTGTTATGTGCTGTTCAAGTCGGCCCCAACTCATAGTGACCCCTCCTTGGGTTTCCGAGGCAGTATCACTACGGAAGTAGGATTGCCCAACCTTCCTTCCGAGGAGTGGCTGGTGGGTTTGAACCACCAGCTGTCTGGTTAGCAGGCAAGTGTCTTAGCCACTATGCTACCAGAGCTCCCCTTCAAGGAGTATATCTACCTAATGTAAATGTTCAGCTCATATCTTGTCTTCTGTTTGGGTGGAAGCCACAGGAGTGGGTTTAATTCCAGACCTGAAGGGGGAACTAGGGGCCATAGTCTCAGAGGTTCCACCAGGCTCTATCAGACCAGCAAACCTGGTCCCCTCCCCCCCCTTTGTTTTTTTAATGATTTTGAGTTTTGTTCCACATTGTTCTCCCACTCTATCCAGGATCTCCTACGTAGATCCCCCTCCGAGTGGTTGACAGTGGTAGCTAGGCACCATCTAGTTCTTTTGGTCTCATAGTCATATAGACTGAGGATTGTATGGTGTACCAGTTGCTTGGACTAATTGTTTCCATGCATCTTTGGTTTTCTTTATTCTTCTTTGGTCTGAACAAGGAGAGACCCATCATTGCATCTAGATGCGACTGTGGTCCTGATCTCACAGGTCCAACTACTCATTCCCTCTGGGTAGCTGGCTGTGGCAAAGAAGTGACTACAACTTTGTACCTTGTCTGCTCTACTGTATACCTGGGAATTCTTATAGAACATACAAATAGCTTGTAGAAACATTGTCTGCCAAACCTATACATGGTCATGGGTACACTTTCTCCTGCATAGACATACCTAATCGTTGACCCTGTCCACCCCATTTATCTACCCATAGATCAATGTTTGTCATCACTGACAGCATAGTACTGTATGTGCAAAAGGGTTTCATCTTTGTTGTCTGTACCTCGCACGCATCTCTCTATGTCTTCCTCTTCCTCAGTACGGCAGTGTTGATCACTCATATTTGGTACATTGCCCTTCTGTTAATTGATCTTAAGATCAATTTTATGGATCTTTGTCTAAATAAATCCCATATAAGCTATGCCTAGAGGATCTCTTCTTTCATAGCCAAAATGCTCAGTCAGTTATTTTCTTAAATAAGGAGCAGCTTTTCCTTAAGATGTATTCTGGTTCTCCAAGCCCATCTGCCTCAAACTAAAACTAAATTGAAATACTGATAATAAACAATTTTTCCTTTACTGGGAAAATTTCTTTCTTTTTGAGGCACTTTCTGCTGCCTTGATATTGTTTGAAAAAGTAATACATGCTCATGGAACACAGTTCTAAAGGTACAAAAGGATTTACAGAGCCAGGTGAGTCTTCTCACCCCTATTTCTACCTAGTTAAGCCTGTCCTCACCTAATTAAACCCACATTGTAACATAAAATATATGCTGTTGTTTTAACATTATTTTTTAATAGCTTAGGGATCATTCTATATCAGCACATAGGAGCTGCTGCTTTCTTTTTAATGGCTGTGTAGTAGTCTGTTGTATGTTGTTGTTATGTGTTGTTGAGTCGGACCCGACCCATAGTGTGACCCCTCCTT